CCTCCTGTCGCCTCCTCCCCCTCGCCGGTCCCTCCCTCTCTGCTCGCTCCGGCGAAGTTTGCACGTCAAGCCCCCGGAGTGGAGCCAGGGCGAAGTCGGAAACGCAGCCACCTATGGAAGAGCCGGCCGGTCGGCCCCGGCGCAGCGACTAGTGCGTCGCCGAGGCCCTCCCTCCTGAGCCTCGGGCACCAGTGCTTCTCTCTGAGCTCGCGGGCAGCTGCACAGTAGCTGAAGCATGAATGGGAAGCCGCCACTGCGTGGCGGCCCAGCAACTAAGGAGCCACCGTCAAGTGTGAAAATGCCGCCCAGGTGTTAGCTCAGGTGTGGGCCTCAAGCCCTTACTGCACATGAGAATCCTCACATGTGTACCTCGATGCCCACAACTGAAGGTCACACTGTGTGTCCTGGGAACTTGAATTTCTTCTTAAGCAAGAAGGGACCCACGAAATCAGTGTATCAGTTTGAGTTGTTAGTCTGTCACTATGGTGGTATTTCTTAGGATCAGATGAGAGCCCATGGTTTAGGGAATATAAAAAGAACAACTCTGTTCAGTCAGACTTTAATCACTAAATTAGGCACTAGCACATAAATCTAACACCCTCCCCTCAATATACACATACACATCTTTTGCTTAAGAGATGAACTGAGGATCATCAAACAACTAAAGCATTCGTCGCAGAGGACCCCACCAGGAGCCTATAGTAAATGTGAAAATTGGAGGCAAAACTGTATGTGATAATGTTTCACTCTTCTATCCAAAGCCTCTTGCTTACAGGTGCTTTCAAAACTAGGAGAGGAAGAGGTGAACTTTACTTACTGTTACTATTACTTGTCTTTAATCGAAAATATCTAGTAAGAGAGGCAACCAAGTTCTCAGTTGAAGAAATGTCTATTCACAAAAACCTTTAAAATATTTAAATGAAAACAAAAGTGATTGCAGAGCCAGGCGTGGTGGTGCACGCCTTTAATCCCAGCTCTCAGGAGGCAGAGGGAGAAGGATCCAGGACAGTTCCAGGACAGCCTGGTCTACAGAGTGAGTTCCAGGACAGGCTCCAAAGCTACAGAGAAACCCTGTCTTGAAAAGCAAAACAAACAAAAAATAATAACAAAAGTGAGTACGGAAACATAACATTTTCACAATATATTAAAATCAGGACTCAGTGAAAATGTTTTGATTTAGGTGCAAATTAAAAAGCTTGAGCTGGCTGGACAGTCGTGGTACACGCCTTTAATCCCAGCACTTGAGAGGCAGAGGCCTACACAGTGAGTTCCAAGGCAGGCTCCAAAGCTACAGAAAAACCCAGCCTCAAAAAAAAAAAAACCAAAAAAAGCAGGGAGGTGGTGGTACACGCCTTTAATTCCAGCACTCAGGAGGCAGAGGCAGGCCGATCTCTGTGAGTTCGAGGCCAGCGTGGTCTACAAAGCTACACAGAGAAATCCTATCTGGAAAACATCAACAAAAAAGCTTGAGCTGGGTGTGGTGTGGCAGTATGTGCCCAGAGTCCCCAGGTACTGGGAGTCTGAAGCAAGAGTAAGTGCATTGTAGTAGTTCCCAGCCCAAACTGAAAAACACAGTAAGAATTTGTCTTAAATAAATAAAGCATAAATACAATTTCTGACTAGACATATTTAGATATTAATATGTATTTTTCCCCTGGATTGCAAAGAAATCCAAAAAGCAAATCTGATGAGTGCTTATCAAGGACAGTTGTTCCTTGAACCCTCAGGCTTTACACCTACAGACTCTACTAACTGCAGGCTGAAAATATGCTTTTGATAATTTTAAAATTGTTATCTATACTGAACATGTATAGTTTTTAAGAAATTTCCCTACAGTGTTATAACTGTTCACATATAATTTACATTTTACTGAGTATTATAAGTAAGCCAGAGATGATCTGATATATATGGAAGGATGTATGTAGCTTACATGCCTTTTTATAAAAGGGACTTGAACACTTATCAATTTGGGTATCTGTGGGGGATCCTGGAACCTAATGCCAGGGGATAGATGTAACCAAAACTGATGGAGATAACTGGAAGATATATATATCTATATCTATATTTATATATAGATATAGATATATATATCTGTATATATATCTGTAAGTTTTAACTTCCTATATAAAAGTATCAATGAGAAAAATAAAAGGTTAAAAACACATTATTACCAGTTAATAATTCAACATAGCTTGTGTGTCTCCAATGCACATTCAAATTTTTCATTAATCCTGAATGACTGAAACATTTACCTGAATATTTCCCAAGATACAATACATATAATTTATTACTTTTAATTTTGTAATTCTACATTTAAGACAAAATTTGAATTCCTTGGAACTGCTCACTTAAAGCTTAGAAACACAACCATGTAAATACCAAGACCATAGCTATTTGATACTAAGAAAAAAAAAACCAAAAAACAAAACTTGGGTACCACAAGGAGCTTGCATCTTGAGTACAAATGCTGTGGTTACTGAAAGTATTGGGTGAGAATGAAAATAAAAGGAAGAATGGTAAACATGAAGTTTGGTCTCACTTCCTCAGTCCATTGCTTGAGTTTTCTACTTTCACAATGATAGAACTTCTAACCAATGAGGATCTATATGGCAATTTATAGTACTTCAATTTCTAATTTCTCCTTGATAATTTGTTTTCAAAGTTTTTTAACTGGTATACCAAAGCAGAACAGAGCTTAAAATTATAAGCACTAAATCTCAGCACCATGACAGTTAGTAAGCATTATAATAGCTATTGATCACCTACAAAGGACACGGGATATGCCAGAGGTTCTCTAGTGCATTGCTTCAACATTCTCTGTTGTATACCATCAAAGTTGTGTTATTTATAACCGAGAAAGATGCTAAGTGTGGTGGAATCCGTCTTTAATACCAGTAGTCAGTCTGATCTGTACAGTGAGTTCCAGAACAGCCAGTACTACATAATAGAGATAACTTCTCAAAAAATGAACCAATGAAACAAAACAAAAAACCCAACAAACAAGAGAAGGAAGGGGAGGTGGGGCTCCAAAGCCAGTCTCTTAGTGCTGAATTGATACCAGCTCTTTCACTTACAAATGTGCAACCTTGAGCAGGTTCCCTAGTATCCCAGTATGTCACTTTTCTAGTCTGTAAAGTTGAGATAAGGCCAGGTCCTTTGAAAGCACCAAGCTTAAATACTGTAAGTGACTTGCATAAGATTGAGTTCTTATCAAATGATATTTACTACCAAATGAAAGAGGATGTACTGACAAGCAGTTCCTGGAATTTCTGGGCCAGGTCCTCTTTGTCTTTACCATCCATCAAAAGCCCTAATACTTTCTAGAAAGGCAGAGTCTGGTATTATCCACAGCTGTTTTAGGTCTCCTAATTAGTAGTTTGAAGGAGTCACCAATGAAAGCAAAACGGAAAGTTGAGACAGTAAGAAAGTGTGTCTGCTATTCAAATGTTGGCAAGCTTTTGAAAGTATTCCTTATACAAAGAACATTGTTTGTGAACAATAATACAATAGAAATCCAAAAACTTACTTTTTCCTCTCAGGAAAGACACTATGACCTTGTTTCTAAATATTCCACCCACCCCCCATACTCACTCTCAAACTATAAAGAAAATGGCCCATACAAATCATATGGTTTTTCAAGACAGGGTTTCTCTGTGGTTTTGGAGACTGTCCTGGAACTAGCTCTTGTAGACCAGGCTGGTCTCAAACTCACAGAGATCCGCCTGCCTCTGCCTCCCGAGTGCTGGGATTAAAGGCGTGTGCCACCAACGCTGGCTACAACTCATACACATTTAATACACTGTTATGATATGCTAGTGTGTCTTGTACAAAATCAATACTTCTAATACCTTAGTACCTGCCTATACATTAAATGATACATATTTTATAAGATTTGAATAAGGAGGTTGCAATTTACCAAGCAGTTCCTGATTGCTTACTACATGTTAAGGCATCAAGGTAAAAATAATTTCATAGAATAAACAAAAAATGAACAATTAAGCATTTATCAAAACATCTATATTAAAAGCTGCCCATACCAATCAGAATGTACACAGCTTAAAAATAAAACTGCAGTTGAAAGCCCTATCTGCTCTTCCAGAGGATGTGGGTTCAATTCCCAGCACCCATATGGAGGCTTGAGTTCAGGTGATTTT